ATATATATATATATATATATATAGATATAATAGTCTCATTTATTTATATATATATAGCTATATATATATACATGTACATCAAAATCATATGAAAACATGTATACAGATGTATGCATATCTTAATATATATATATATATATATATATGTATCTATATATATATATATAATATGTATGTATGATTTGTATATATATATCTATCTATGTATTCATCGATATGTATTGTATTTGGTATATGACACGTGTGATAGTGACTCCACGTATTCTTAGAATAGGATGGGATTTTGTCAAGTAAAGGTTTAGGTATGTAAATCAATAGTTTGTTTATAAAGCTAGGTTACTGTAGATGGGTTATGAGAATTTGAGCTAACTTAAGAGTAATTTTACAGCTGTAAAGTGGGTTAAAACATGTAGATAATGGCGACAGTATCCAGAATGGAACGGTCGCCATGGTCTAGGCCAATAGTGAGTGTCCATATGGATCTAACTTGTTGTAGGCGCCATGGGGCGTGGGCTGTCGTGTGTAAGCAGACACTATGAAGTGATCAGTCTCTAGTTTCTAGGAGCTAATACACTACATTACATTAATACACACTGAAAGATACATAGATTTCACTTTGTATTTATTAGTATTGCACTTAGAATTTTTTTTACAAAATTCATATATAAATGTATATACATATACATACATATATTGTAAAAAATGATGCATATTTACAAATTCCAACGACCTCAGCTGAAACACGTTTGTATGTAGTTTCTATAATCTTTGTAGCAATTCGTGCGTTCGTTCATTATGCTGCCATGTAGTTTGTGTTGTCCAATCGGACACACCCTGATTGTCATAGACACATGCAAATGTCATGCAAAAGCATGTATACATCGTCACCCGAGGTGCACCGCAACCCCTCACGGATTCTGGATCTTCACCTATACCGCGAAATAGAGTGATCTCGTGTAGTCTGTTGACACTAACAAATAGCTATCCATCTATCTCTGCCACTTCCACAGGTGTATACCCGCTCTGGCGATGAGGGTATGACAAGCCTTGTGGGCGGCAACCGCGTGCAGAAGGATGATGTGCGCATAGAGTGCTACGGCACGCTGGACGAACTGAACGCGTTCGTGGGATCTACAATACAATCCATCAAAGTCGATATGAAGAGTGTGCCTGACGCTCAGGTGCGTGTTGTGTTTTGACTGGTCTTGCTTTGGATGTTCTATTGGGGCAATTGTACGCTACCACTACAGTTACACTCACGATGCACTTTCTAAGCACCAGTAGCTGTGAAAGATTTGTGTGCCGCGAACACAGTCTGTTTATGCATTTTGTGTAGTATATCATATATACAGGCGGTGCTCGCTTATAGTATATAGTACTTATTGGCTGTGCTAGTCGTATAGTATATAGTACTTATTGGCTGTGCTAGTCTTATAGTATATAGTACTTATTGGCTGTGCTAGTCTTATAGTATATAGTACTTATTGGCTGTGCTAGTCTTATAGTATATAGTACTTATTGGCTGTGCTAGTCTTATAGTATCAAGCGTAATCTTGGCTAAAAGCATGAAGCAAAGGCACGTCGAGGTCGAACTCTTGAGTGGGGACTCATTTGTTTTTGTCTGTACTGTCATTGACAGAAATCGTTACCAGATCAAATAGATACTCGCCGTGCTCTCAGAGATAGCTTAGTTTGCAACCAGTATACTGACTTGCGACTACTATCAAAACACTATACGCGTCATAGTGCGTTCTGTGTGCGGCACTGTGTTGGATTGGTGCGTATGTGTAAGGAATCTTAGACATATACTACAGTACGGTTATGCGGATCATGTATACCGCATAACCGCATATACCAACACAGAACTGCTGGGTGATTTGTGGCTGACTCGTGTCGCAGTCTCAGCACACGCGCCCACACATCGATTCTGTGAAACGCGTCTTATCTCTAGCAGATATGTTAGCTTGAAATAAACCTGCAGTGCATATCTCTACTGCACAGGCTGACCTCGTTGACATGCTGGTCAAAGTACAACACCATCTGTTCAATGCGGGCTCAATCTTAGCAACCATGCCAGAGGACGTGCACCCTAAACAGCCACAGGTATGCTTTTGGCACTGATTTCGAGTATGTCGGATGTGCTATCGATCGGTCGCATATCCCCGGGTCTATCTCATAATTTTTAAAGCGTTTAGAGTTTAGTGTCCACCGTATCTCTAGGTAGATCTGTGGTCAAAGGTGCCGCCTTATCATCTTTGCTATGTTTAACAGGCGTGTGATACAATGTACTTGTTTCCCAGGAATGATCACGTACAATCGATGCAGAAAGTATCGAGCTGCCATCGATGTCTGAAGTTTACTGTTGTTTTCATGTATATATACCAGGTACTTGTCCATTTCGAGCTGTATATGTCGAGACATTTGCTGCTACTTGCCGTGCTGGCTCTTGGATGACGACAGCGTCATTTGAAAGTGATTTGTGCAAGTCGTATCCACGTTGCTGTACAATGGAGGGAAGGAACGCAATTGGATGTTGTTAAGTTGCATCGAATGTGACTTTATCGTGTATCTACTTTGATTGCAGTTTCAGTCGCGAGTACATACCAATCACCTTATACTGCCTGATCCACATCGAAGACGCTGACTTAGATGATCTGGATTGTCACATTGGTATTGGCATTATTATATGTCCGTTATGTATGTGTATGTTTTTAATATATATATATATATATATCGTATGTTATGTACTTGTACGTGTACGTTGTATTATGTAGATGTGCACGTGTACATATCATTTTCTGGCCTCAAGTCATCCATCTTCCCTCAGATCGAGGACGTTGACATTGAGGATCTGGAACGAGACATTGATATGTGCAACGATACACTGCCTGATCTCAAGTCATTCATCTTACCCGGGGGCTGTCGAGCGAACACTGACATGCATGTGTGTCGTACAGTCTGTCGCAGAGCGGAAAGGTCCATTGTTGCACTCAACCGCGAAGAAAATGCAGGGGTATGGATCTGATACGTATATGTGTGTGTGCGTATGTGTGATTGTTGCCTTTTCAATCCGCAAAAAAAGCTTTTCATCGTACGCGTGCACGGGAGTGATTGTGTGTGTGGTTTTGTCGTTTCTCGAGTATGCTAGTGTCGGGTTCTACATGGTCTGTGGAAGACGTCATTGTGTGAATTTATGTGGCCATTGGAGCTCACCATAATGTTTCATGTAACATATGCATTTTCTAGACGTAGTTTAGATCATAAACTAAATATATGCACTTGTATCTATGCTATCTAACATAATTAGGATTGTGTGCACACTGCAATATGTCAGCGTGTTTATACATGTCTGTGTGGAGTGTTGGTCCATTTTTAGGTGACGCTTATGATCAGTGATCGATTATTAGAACAATCTGGACGGCTCGTTCTGTTCGGACACACATATATGTATATATATATATATATATTATAGTATATTATTTGTATATATATGTATGCATGCATATATATATACATAGTATACATACATATATATATATATAGGAATCTAGATTGATCCAACACGTAGAATATTCGAGCAATGTATTTCATTGTATCTTTATTTACAGTCTTTGTCTATAAAACTAGCCTACACTCTTAATCTCGCCATACATATAGTATCGAACAACTTTTTCCTTAAAAATTATCTTGTCCGGTCTGTCCTTGAGTGCAGGTGCCACCCGCCGTGATCAAATACGTTAACCGCCTGAGCGATGCATTCTTTGTGTGGGGGCGGTGGTTGTGTGTGCAGATCGATGTGGATGAGATGGTGTGGAACCCTAACGTCACCAAGACCTCATAGTCTTCCTTGGGGTGGTATAATCTCCCTTGGAGTGGCATAGTTTCCCTTGGAGTGATAGTCTCTCTTGGTGAGGTGATATAGTTAGATGGTCGCGTGCTGAGTGGCGAGTGGTAGTACTGGAACGGCCGTCTTGTGTGAGGACTACGTCTGGCTTTAAGTGTGTTAGTGGGGTACGCTCTATTGTGTACGTCTGGCTTTAAGTGTGTTAGTGGGGTACGCTCTATTGTGTACGTCTGGCTATAAGTGTGTAAGTGGGGTACGCTCTATTGTTTATCTGGCTATAAGTGTGTAAGTGGGGTACGCTCTATTGTTTATCTGGCTATAGGTGTGTTAGTGGGGTACGCTCTATTGTTTATCTGGCTATAGGTGTGTTAGTGGGGTACGCTCTATTTTTTATCTGCCTATAAGTGTGTTAGTGGGGTACGCTCTATTGTGTGAGGTGTACTACACTGGAGATTGCTTTTCCCCTCTACTGGCGACGTTGACATGAAGTTGACATATCAAGGCTCGCTAACGTTGAAGCGTCAGTGCTGAAGCAGGGCTTGGTTGTTCAATATGCAATCCACGCAAATTCATTGAACTGCTGCATTGGGACGTTCTAAATTAGACGCGCCCGAAAAAGGCCGTCAAGTTGATCTCAATCAGGTTAAGACTTGACATCATCAAGACGTACAGTATATTATCGCAATAAATAACAGCCTTCTTAGCCGACAAGAGGCTATGAGTAAATTTAGTACACAAAAACCTGCCCCTTATGTTGGTTTATTTTCACCAGAACCAAATCACAAGATCGAGTGTAGACTCTTGTAGCTCACGCGCTAAACCAGCGTTTCTTTGCTTCGTTTGGGAGTCAGGTACATGTCTGATAATTAAGCGTGACAACATCATCTTCATCGCCAATTGAATAAAGGTGATTGAAATGATTCTTAATCTATTGCACTCGTGTGTACTTGCAATAAACTTATGGAAATACGAGCTGCGAACATGTTCTGGATAACTCGGCCTTTATTTCGCATATTTCTCCGTCCATTCTTTAGCTGCAGCATTGGTAACGACAAAAAGATCGAATGATGCACATGATCAGTCTAAAAAGTATAGCACAATAGACAGGTACATTGCACTCATGAAGGACAAGGGACACTACTGTGATTTGTGCATGATCACTGGAATGTTGCATATACATACACACGAGTAGTACCAGCTCGAGAAGAGAGCCATACACTGACAGAAAGATGGACCTGCCTAACACAGTGCATTGCAAAAGTATACTACCTTACTATGAGCAGCGACAGGAGTGCTAATGAATTGCCACGCCATTTCCACACACAGGTTGGCGTGTTGTACTGTACCGATACATGACGAAGTTCAAATGAGGTGATGAGACATCCGATATCAGCACACCTAAATCATTGCCTTGTAGTCGTATGAGACTATTTACATGAAAGCACCATCCATCTTTTTGACTCGCACTCGCGCAGGCCTGCATGCACCAAGCGTAAAGCTCTTGCAGGCCAATCCTACTAGTCGTGTATGATATCTCCACCTACCATGACAGACCAAAGATTATGAAACGGGCGGGTAATAAGCGCACGCCAATTCTGAGACGCTAATAAGCGCACGCCAATTCTGAGACGCTAATGAGCGCACGCCATTTCCACTCACGAGAGGCTCATGAGAGTTGAAGAGTACCTGTTTGTAGTGCTTGTGGTTCGTTGTCCTTCCACACTTGAGCCACATCGTTGGCCAATGGATCGTCAGGGTTTGGGGCGGACATGAGTGCCAGGATGGACAGCAGCACTGTGCGGATTTGAAGCACCGGACTCCACTTGTCTGCAGAGGTGCACAAACAACCAACTAATCAGTACACACCCGAGTGTGGTTGATAACGGATTAACTAGAATGAGACTGTGTATGGGGACAAACAACCGACTAATCAGTACACACACGAGTGTGGTTGATAACGGATGAACTAGAATGAGACTGTGAGTATAGGGAGAGGGCTGGGAGAGACATGGCCACCAATCGCGTAGTCGCACGGGGTGGCTATCCACTGGTTGTGTTGCACTAGTTGCGAGTGCTGGTGATGGTACTGCAGGACGTGATATGACTTTCACCCAACACGCAGCTGAGAAAACTCCGCCGAATCAATATCAGCATACAGTAGCTACTTAGACGTTATAATATAGACGGTCAGACATTATAATTTAAGATAGTCAGACATTATAATATGAGACCGTCAGACTTTATAATACAAGCCAGTCAAACATTATAATATGGGACAGTCAGACATTATAATATGAGACAGTCAGACATTATAATATGAGACGGTCAGACTTTATAATATAAGACAGTCAGACATTATAATATGAGACGGTCAGACTTTATAATATAAGACAGTCAGGCATTATAATAAGAGACAGTCAGACTTTATAATATAAGACAGTCAGACATTATATTATGAGACAGTCAGACTTTACAATATAAGACAGTCAAACATTATAATATGAGATAGCCCTGCTTAGAGCACCATACAGCAACTACTTTGACATTTTAATATAAAACAGTCCTGAGTAGAGCACCATACAGTAACACGCTTGGCGTACACATAAACCATGGCCACACAACTAATCGCTGCCAGATCAGCCGAAACTAAGCCAAGGCAATGGCGTGCCTTTGAACATACCTGAACGGACGAGCCACAGGAGAATCAATAGAAGTCAAAAACACAGCAAACAATTAGTAGCCCATGCACGAATAGACTATAATAACACATGGAACAACAGATGCCCATACACTTTCCCTGTATTGAACGCATCTAGTCAGATACAATACACGGAACAAAACATTGTAGAAGACTACACAGAAACCAACCAGCGCCCCAAAGCAACCCACTAGTAAGTACGACCTAGTTTTTTTCAAGTATGGTTAGCGACAACATCCACTAGCAAAGGCAAATAGTATCCACAGGGAACCCCTACCTTCAGAGATATTTAAACGGAATAACCTACCGTATATATAAACAGTAACGCTATAAGTATATCTATGCAAAATAGCTTCAAGTATTAGTGTCAATGCAATACCCTACAGCATATATAATAGAATAACTAAGTATATCTATACAAAATAGCTATAAGTATGTGTCAATATAATAGCCTACAGTATATATATATTTATATATATATATATATATAGAATACTTGTAAGTATATACATACAGAATAGCTTTCAGTATATCTGTCAATAAAATAGCCTACATCATATATGAATCGAATACTTTCAAGCATATCTATACAAAACTGCTTCAAGTATGTGTCGATATAATACCTTTGAGTATATCTAAACAGATGCGACCGATCTTGTCGATGTTAGGGTGGTAGATCCGCGTTAGGAAGCGTACTTTTGGCGGGCACATGGGATAGTCATTATCAAGGAACAACTCCAGCTTGAACTTTCCACCAGAGTAGGGAGTCTCCGGAGGACCATCCATTGTCACCATGAAGTAGCGCTACGATTTGGCGTCCAGAAGAGCAGTACGTACAGCAGTTGGTTATGTTTACCGAAACAAATGTGCTTGTGTGTGGTGTATGTATATATACATACGTAAAGGATAGGTATCAAACGTAAACAACAACATGTCAGGATGTGAATGGTGGTGTGTTCATTCGTATCAGGCTGTACACGAGCTCGCTTTCAATTGGGTCATACGTACTACAGTTCAATACTAGCTTACATCGAGCAGCAAATCCCATAAAACCAACAAACAATATATCCGAAGCAATCTGTGGACTTTGTGAGAAAAAATCGGTTCAAATTAGATGCCAAACCGATAGGCTAAAGAGTTGTGTGATTTACAGATTGACTGACATACGGCATTGTTTTCTTGAGGTTCTGCGACGATGCCAGGCACTGGTTCCTGTTGCAGACGTTGAGTCTCCTGTATCGATAATATAGGTATAGCTCAAATTAGTAATATAAATATAGTTCATAATATAAATATACATATAGCTCATATTAGTAATATCAGAATAGCTCAGGCGAATGATTGAATGCACCAGTCACAAAATACCAACCGACAATTAAACCTTTGAAACAACATGAAGACTAGTGGCATTCTTCAAATGCGTGTAAATGGTCGTAATAAAGTGTATGGAAATATGCTGTGCTTTATTTACGAATCCTTGAACTCTGATGACACGCATGTATAAAAGACATGTGAAATAAATGTATACAAATAAAAGACATTTATATTTATATATATATATATATATATACATATATATATGTATATATATAAATACATGTGTATGTGTTTGCATTTATTAATATATTTAAATACACACACAAATATATAAATA